TATATTAATTTCTAATTTTTGGTACCCAAATTCTTTTGTGTTCATATTCATTAGTTTCTAAAATCCTAGTCCCCTTAGGTATCCATTTGTGTAGAATATCCTTATCTTTAGTAGTAATGAGTTCTTTAGGAACCCATATACTTCTAATAATTTTACTATTTGAGGTTCTTTGGAGACCTCTATGATTGTAGTTTTTAAAACTTTTCTAACAAAGCTTGATTTTGAACTTTCTCCATTTTCAAAACGTTTTGTTCCAACTTTATCAAAAGAAGCTTTAAGATCTTCAATTTATTTTTGATGATCATCGTTGACTCTTGAAAGTAAGTTATGCAAATCATTATTTTTCTTTTCAAACTCATCTAGTTCGGTTTGCAAATTTTTAATCTTACTCTCAAGATAAATGTTGGTCATGGATATGAGACTATTTTTGTTTTTCAATTTTGAAATATCATTATTGTATTTCAAAAATAATTTCTCATAATCCGAAGCCAAACCAGTATATTCCTCTAACAACTCATCAAAAGAATAATCTTCGAAATTAAATGAGCTAGAGGTTACCTCAGAATCTTCCCCGGTGGCCATCAAGCACAAGTTTACTACTTCTTGTTTCTCTTCATTTGATGATTCATCATCATCACTCCAAGTAGCCACGTGTGCCTTGTGCTTCTTCTTTGATTGATCCTTCTTCTTTAATTGTAGGCAATCGTATTTGACATGCCCGGGCTTTTTGCATTTGTAGCAAATGATCGGGTTATTCTCCTTTGGTTCATTTTTGAAGCCTTCATTTCTTTTGAATTTTTGTTCCTCTATTGGGCTTCATTAATTTTATGAACCGTTTGACAAATAATGGCATCTCTTCATCATCGCCGTCATCATCAAATCACTCTTAACTTTTGTGGATTTGAGAGCAACTCCAACATTCTTCTTTTACTCTGTATCCTTCTTTGTCTCATCCTTCTTCTGAAGGTCTACCTCATCTTGAATCATTATGTCATGCGTAAGGAGAGAACCGATGAGTTCATCAAGAGTTAAAGACTTTAGATTTTTTCCTTCGATGATCACCATCTTCTTTGATTGTCAAGCTTTAGGAAGAGAATATATTAACTTCCTCACAAGCTTCTCATTTGGAATGATCACTCCATATGACTTGACACCATTGACAAGCACATAATATCCATCCGTCATAGCTTTGATATCTTCATCTGGTTTCATCCTGAAATTTTCATAGCTATGAGTTAGAAGACTAATTTTAGATTCTTTTACCTTGTTTGTGCCTTCATGAGTGACTTATAGTTTATCCCATATCTCCTTGGCGGTTGTACAAGATGAAACTCTCTCGTATTCATCTGGTCCAAGAGCACAAAATATAATATGGATAGCCTTTGAGTTGAGCTGAAACATTTTCGTCTCTTCTTCACTCCACAAATTTGAATAAGTGGATGGTTGGATATATCCATTCTCCACAATTCTTTATGCTCCCATGTCACTTGCTTGAATGATGTACCTCATTCTATTCTTCCAATAAGCATAATTAGCTTCATTGAAGAAATGAGGCTTGTTGGCAGACTGAGAATCAAGAACGAAGTTGAAGTTTGAAGTGGAGGCCATTGATGAGTTGAATATCGATATAATTCTTCCCGAATCGACTCAAGAGGTGGTTAAACCTTCAAATGAGTGTAGATCTGATACCAATTGTTGAGTTAATTGATCGATGAATCGACCAAGAGGGGGTGAATTGGCAATAAAATTTGGTGGAAGCTTTTTCAAAAAATTGAAAATATTTGCACAATGATTTAGAGTGGTTTGCCTTTCTCAACCAAAGTCTACGTCCACTACCTTAGCTATCCACACTAAGGATTTTCCACAAATTCACTAATTTGTCTTTCTTTTGAGGACAAAGAGTAACCTTACAACTTCCTCAAGAATTATACCTCAAATTCTTGAGAACACTCTCTCCTAAAGAGAAACTTACAAATTTCAGAAACTTACAGAAAACCTCACTAGGCAAGATGTTTGCACAATTCTAGAATAAGAAAAGAACACTCAAAGATGATTACAATTGAGCACAAAATGTGTTCTTGAAAGAAAATTGAATATTGAAAGAAAATTGACTTGAATTTCATAAACTTGACGTTTGATGCTTTCTCTCTCGATTCTTTCTCAATTCTTGTTGATCAATGGATCCTGAGCTTCTTTAAATACACCTTGGATCACTTTTGAACGTTGGGGATCATTGTTGAAGTCAATAAAGCCGTTATGGTGTGAATACCATTTAAAATATATATTGGGAACGTAGGTGTATCGGTACACTGTAAGGTATATCGGTACACTCAGTGTAAAATTCAAATATTTCGACCGTTGGTTGACCTAGTGTATCGGTACACTCAAGAGTGTATCGGTACCTAAATTACATTCGATGTTTCTCAGAGCCAGGAGTGTATCGGTACATCAACTGTGTATCGATACCCTTATTCCATTCGAAGTTGGGGTGTATTGATACACCCAAGGAGTGTATCAATACCTTCCTTAACAAAACTTGTTTTTGGCTCGTTTAAGGTTCGAAATACTTTGTAAAGATTGTTTCAAAAATATTTTAAGATTAAAACACAATTTTGCACTTAAGTAAGGATTAAAAATGACATTTGAAAACTTGGAGTAATATTTTTGATATTCGAATAATTTAATCGAATATATAATTTTAAATTGAATATAAAATCTTAAAATCCATTTATACTTTATTTGTTATATCAAAACATCAAAATGTTTTCAACAATAAGTATATGAGTGAACAATGTTTCCTGGGATGAAATATTCCATTGTGTGCAACAAATATGTAAGCTCATTGTACGATTGATCCCATTCACCGTAAAATAGTATCATAGCTTTCTTTTGGCCATCCAAGACTTGTAGTAAGACGAAATATAGCCAAATGTATTTCATATTGATGCGATTATCATTAATATCGCCATCCAAATAGTATCACATATATACATGTGACATCGGAGTCTAAGTTCTTGTAGGCTTGTTTCAAGGAGTTGAATGTGCAAATGTGCTGGTTGTGGAACCTTATGACTTCCTACAACATCTTTTGCTGTAGGTATGAGACACGTATCCTCCACTTACAACCGACGTTGTTGTTTATATATCTGGAAAAAAAATGTTTTTTTATCAGACTCCACAACATTGAATTCCATATGAGCTTTTATACAAAACTCCTTCATAGCTAGTTGTGCATCCTTCTTACTTTAGAAATAATGCAACTTTTCAGAGGCCATTTAATGCATAATTTAAACAAGTTTTTAGAAAACGGGTGAAATAGTAGTGTATTATCATCTTCAGCAACTTTTAAGTGATATATGAACTCAAATCAGAAAACTGTTTAGTGGTTCATTATCACTTCATATAAAAAACATGTTTTTAACTCAGGCAAACTAATACACCCTTCCAACTATTTTTCATTGAAATATGAACTCAAATTATAAAACTCTTCAGTCTTGCATTATCATTTCAAATTATAAAAAAAACGTGTATTTCACATAAGCCAAATTATGCACTATTTCAACAACTTTTTAATGCTCAAGTAATGCACCATTTCAACAACTTTTTAGAGGTCATTTACTGTAAAAATAATGCAACTTTTCAGAGGTAATTCAATGCATTATTTAAGTAAAATTTCAGAAAACATGTGAAATAGTGGTGCCTTATCATCTCCAACAACTTTTCAATGATGTATCAACTCAAATTAGAAATTTTTTTTGTGGTGCATTTATCACTTCAAATAAAAAAAACGTGTATTTCACATAGGCCAAATAATGACACATTTCACCAACTTTTCAGTGTCCATTTAATCATCTTCAAGAACTATTAATATATGTGAGTTGAAAGCCATTTTACTATGACATTAAAGAAAAAAAACTAAAACTCTTTCTATCTTTCACTTCCAAAGCATGAGTTCATTTCAAACATGACAACTATCCGTTAAACTGTTTTTTATGATTTCAAATCTTTAATCACGTTTTTCAAAAAAATATTCAACTAGACGAGTTGAAGTTCAGTATAGAAACAAGAGTTCAACTCGAAAGCAGTAAAAGAGTATCTTCGTTACATTATAGATTGCCACTATCTTGCATGAGGTTTCATCTAAGCGATGATGTAGACCTTGCTGACATGATTGAGACATACTTCTATCATTCTTTTTGTAATGTCGATTTGTTTGTAAAGTTCATTGATCTCGACTTTGCTCGTACGATTGAGGATGTTGCTTACAGCTCGAATATCCCACCAACTAAGACAAATTACCAAGAAACAAACATAGATGATGGAGACCCATAAGCATGGTTTCAATTTGTACATGAACGACAACAACAAAAATAATGGAGAATTGAAGAACTTAATATTACTTCTGAAAAGTCTATTGCTTACGAAGATTAAAAAATCTTAATCAATATTGCTATGTTTATGATTTTATTTAAGGTTTATGATGTTTGTAAGTTTAGTCATGTCCTTATGTTAATGTATTAAGTTTATTTTTTTCCTTCTTAATGTGCATTTCTCATGGTATAATGTAATATTCATAATTTGTTCTCTTTTAAACAAAATCTATCTTATTTTGAAAAAAAAATATAACGTAACTCGAGTTACGTACTTTTAATATAAAAATAATATATCATGATGAGTTCTTTTTTATTGTAAGAATTATTGTAAATCTCAAAATAAAATCTGAAAAGTTCTATGGGGCCAAATAATTTGTCTGCCAGCCGTATTTGGGGGAAAAAACCTGTTAGGCGTGGACGCTTAAAATTGCTACATAAAGTCCAACTCAAGCTGTCTTTATATGCTCTGTAGTAACCAACCCAAAAATGACTTCTCCTTTCATTGGCTCGACAATAACAACAAGAAAGACATTCCACCAAAAACGCAACCTAATTCTGAAAGCAGCACCACATAAATTTTTATTTTCATCTTTGACCTTTAGCATCCAACTATTATATATATACACACTGTCCGTAAGAACCAGTCTCCAATTTCCCTTTCACCACTGCAGATCTTGAACGCTTTTACGGGTAAGTGTTACACTTCTAACCCATATTTCTTCTTATATTTCCATTATTATTTTTTTTAGTTTTTTCCCGTCCACTTTAGCTGCTTGTAAATGGGTTTTCGAAAGCTTTTCTTTTCTTTATACATAATTCGACCCTGTTGGGTGAAATTATCCCTATACGAGTAAACTATCGTGAACATTCTATAGTTAGAAAATCTCACCCCTGACATCTTTGCCTTGTTAGAAAAATGGCAACAGCCGTAACCGGCGGCGAGAACCACTACGACAGAGCCGAAGAAGTGAAAAGATTCGATGCATCAAAAATCGGAGTAAAAGGGCTGGTGGATTCGGGTCTGACCACCATCCCTTCCATCTTCATTCACCCACCCCAAACTTTATCCGACCTCAAACCCAAACCCAAATCCAAGCCCCCCGTCGTCATCCCTACCATCGACCTCTCGGCGCCCCGTTCGACGGTCGTGGAGCAGATAGCCGCCGCCTCCCGAACCTTTGGTTTCTTCCAGATCGTAAACCATGGAGTTCCCGTGCAAGTTCTGGACCGTATGATCGGTTCCATCAGAGCCTTCCACGAGCAGCCGACCGACGTTAAGGCCAAGTTCTATACCCGTGATGTAACCACCGGTGTTAACTTTTTTTCCAACGTTGACTTGTTTCTCTCTAAAGCCGCTAGCTGGAGGTTTTCTTCCAACTCTATCTATTTATTTATCTTTCTTTAATTATCATTTGGGCTGATTTAATTATATTATCAATTCTCTGAATTAATTTGAGCTTCCTAGAATTGACTTAGCTTTGCTTGCAGAAAAATAATCCAAAATTCGATTTGAATATTACTTGTTCTCTTGCAATTGCTTGTTGAACATATGTATTCTTTTGGACAAAATTTGCATAATTTTTCATATATTTTTTTATTTCTATTTTTTTGTTCTATCATTTTAATTTAACATGTGTCTATGTTGCCGACATAGAGGTGAAAATACACTTTCAAAGACGTTTTGTAGATAACACGTGTTTATCAAACGTGACAGACTTTCAAAGACTTTTTTCAGATAACATGCTAGACAAAAAGGAATGTTGATATGAAATAGATGTAAAGAAAAAGAAATAATTTTATAGTGGGTGATATTTGAATAAAAAGTTATCTAATTCAGTTTCATTAAATCCAATTTCGGCTCAATTCAGTTTTTTAGTTGCAAGTTAATTAGCGAAAATAATTTTAATGAAAAATTGTTGGAATGATTGAATATTGATGAAGTAATTCTGAAGAGTAGTTGAAATATTGGGTGGAATGATAGGGACACACTCCAGATAAAGCTATCACCAACGCTGCCGGAGCTGGAGAACATTCCCGAGGTTTGTAGAGACGTGGTGGTCCAATGGAGCAAGCATTCCGAAACATTAGGCGAGCTGCTGATGGGGCTATTGTCGGAAGGTCTCGGATTGGATACGGATAGGCTCAAGAACACTACGTGTTTAGATGCAAGAATGATGGTGGGGCACTGCTATCCTCACTGCCCTCAGCCTGATCTCACGGTCGGCATCGCATCGCATACCGATCCGGGAGTGTTGACGTTGTTGCTGCAGGATCACATCGGTGGATTGCAGATCAAACATGAAGGAGACTGGGTGGATGTCAAACCGGTTCACGGTGCCCTTGTTATAAACATTGCAGATATTCTTCAGGTAGCGAGAGCGTATATACTACTAGTTTTATTTGTTGCTGTGAATTCTGGTGTTTGAAGAAGTTTTTTGCCACAATTTTTCAGATTCTGTCAAATGATGAGTACATTAGTGTGGAGCACAGAGTTCTGGCTAATCCTTCCGATGAACCCCGGGTGTCGATCGCCGTTTTCTACAATCCTAGTGCCAGGGAAGCCCTGTATGGTCCGTTTTCCGAGCTTACTTTGCAGGAGAAACCGCCTCGATACCGTCAGTTTATATATCATGACTACATGAAAAGGTTCTTCACCAAGGAACTGGATGGGAAAACGTTGACAAATTACTATAGGGTGTAAGAAAGAATGTTATGCAATATTAGATTCCTATATTTTCAAGTTGGTGTACAATAAGAAAGTTGGATAATCTTGGCTTTCAAATGCGTTAATACTCATGTACTATAGTCCGAAATTATCATACTATCGTAATTTATTAGTTACTCATAACTCCATTTTCTGCTTGGCTATTAAAGACTATAACTTGCATATGTAACTAACAAAATGATCCCAATGAAAAACAAGAACTTCGCCCCATCAAACCCTACATGATTTCGTCGGACAAAGATCGAAAGAAGTTAAGCACCGGGGACAGCATTTGGTGCCAGAGCAGATGATGCCCAAAATTAGTAGAATCCAAATGCCATTTCCACCATCTTTGGTGACATCAAGTACTGTCGGAGTTTGTAGTCTGTTAGATGATTAGTTACATATGATTAGTTGCTTAGTTAGATTATCTTTGTATATAAATGCAACAGTGTGGGTGTAAATATTAATGAGAAGTAGCAGCAAAATTTTCAAATTTTCGCTTCACAAAACAGAGATACTCAGGCTGCCTTTACCACGAGCTGTGATCCCTCCCAGGTTTCTTCATCTGATTCTAGTTCGCAAATGGCCGCTGTGGTACCTTCTTTTTCTCAAGAGCATTACCTATAAGTAGGAGTGAGCAAAATTCGACTTGACTCGACTCGTTTCGAAAAACCCCCACTCTAATTGATTTCAAATTCTGTATGATATATGTATATCACATATAAAAGAAATATATATATATATTGTATTTTATCAAAGATCATAGGAATAGATTATATATATATATGATCATAAAAAATCATTTAAATTGAAATCAAATAATATCATAATATTATAAATATTGATAATTAAATTTAAACACAAACTCGAAAATTCAACTCAACTTGACTCTAATTTTATAAACTCGACTCAACTCGAAATATTTTCAAGTCAACTCTGAGTTGTAAAATAGGACTCGTCAATTCGAATAACTCAATTTTTTTTTGACTCGACTCGGTCAAACACTCACCGCTACATATCGGGTCCTTGCTTTGTTGCAAAAGGTTCCTTCAGAATCATCAATCAATGCAGTAGGTAATGTTGATTGCAAAACTGGTTGTGATACTCGAACTTGGAACTTGGACATGGGGGCGACTGACCATGTATTATCTGACTTTCACTGTTTAATAAATCCCACCCTATGGGCTTTGAATTCACTTTCTTTTCCCTCCCGAATAATAAAATCGTCCCAATAACCCACATTGGTTCTATCATTTTCAATAAACAGTTTATACATGATGTTTTGTTTGTACCAGATTTTCATTATAATTTTCTTTTCGTTTCAAAAAGCTCACTAATGATCTAAACTTTGTTTCTCCTTTTTATCCTCATTTTTGTCTTCGTCAGAGGTCTCCACCCAAAGGATCAAGGAACTTGGTAAAACAATTGGCAGCTTGTACCTGTTTGAATCAAAGTCGTTTAATACACATAATAACTCATATCAAGTTTTCAATATTTTCCAATCTTCTTCTCATTTTATGGTTTCTCCATTTCTTGTTACTCGTCAGTCATGTGTTGATAGTACTAACATTTGGCATGCCCGTTTGGGTCACACCACAATTAATAAAATGCACAGATTGCATGTTCTTTCAGATTTAAAGTTTCATACCGATTGTGTTGCTGATTGTTGAATCTGTCCTCTAGCAAAACAACCTAGAAAACCTTTTCCTCGATCCTTATGTACTTCTATCTCTACATTACCTTTTGAATTGATACAGGTTGATCTTTGGGGTCCGTACCATGTTTCTACACATCAAATATTTCTTTATTATTATGGATGACTTCAGTCGAATTACATGAACTTACTAATTGAAGTTGAAATTTGATGTAATTTTAGCCCTAAAAAAATTCTTTGCCATAGTTCGAACACAACATTTGGTCTTTATTTTAATCGATCGTAGTGATAATGGGTCAGAATTTTTTAACTGAGTGTTCACCCATTTTTCTTCTCTTGGAGTCATTCACCAAAACAGTTGTGTTCGCACCCCCACAACAAATTGGGGTGGTTGAACGAACACAGAGAAACTTGTTTGAGGTTGCTCGAGCATTTAGTTTTCAATCTAAAATTCCTATTAAAGTTTGGAAAGAATGTGTGTCTGCTTCATGTTACCTTGTAAATAGATTGTCTACCTCTGTCATTAGTCGAAAATCTCCAGTTGAAGTCTTTTACAATAAGCCTTTCAATCTTTCTCATTTAAGGATATTTGATTGTCTCTCCTATACTACTAACCTTAATGATCATAATATTTTATCCAGAAGTTGTTTCATCGGTTTTCATGGGATATTCCCTTACGCAAAAGGGTTATATATTTATCAATCCTAACACTAAGTTTTTTTTTTTTGAAGTCGTGATGTTTCTTTTTGTAAGACCCTAAATTTTTTAATTTTATTTTATTTAAATTTTTTATTTAAGATGGGTACCTATTTGTTAAATCCTAGAAATGTAGGGTCATTTTTCAAACTTCCAGGCAGTTTAGGGATCTAGCTCCAATAAATTAGGTTACTTTTTAGGTTTTATAATAATAAAATTATATCTTTAAGCTTATGAATTAGACTTTAACTTCCCAAAAAGTTATCTCAATTGGAAACGAAACCCAAAACCAAATCTCTCAAAGTAAACCATCGTCCTCGTCGCTCATTCATCGCGGTCCACCCTTTTCAGGCCACCCTGACGTACAACGCCACCACTAGGAGATTCGATGTCACATCGGGAGAAAACCTCGACCCTCAAAACACCCAAACTGATTGTCGTTCATAACAAATTGGGAGATAATCATTTGATCTCTCCACCGTCATTCTCAGTCACCGCTCGTCAACGACCGTCACTGCCTCTATCAATGGAATTGCCATCCCAATCTGACCCTAACTCAGTAGGTCGTTCATTGTGAACCTTCATCGTTCGTCGTGGAAAATCGATCCAAGATTTGTTGGAGTTTTATTGGTAGCCTCAGTTTTTTATTGATTCCAACTAATCTTGACATCCGTTCATCGCACCACCACCGCCATTAAATTCCTCAAGCATTTTTAAACAAAACCCAGGTGGTTGTGTCTTTCACCGCTGCTCCGTTACAACCCTTCCACCGTTCTGCCGTGGGTAGTATTTTCAATCCTTTTTCCGGTTGTTTCATCGTGCTTTTGGCCTAGCTATGCATTGTTTTTGGAAAATGAGAACACCTGGAGTAATCAAACTATCGAAACCAAACCGTTGTCGCCTTATGCGTCACCATGCACCACCTCAGTGTGTGGTGCTTCATGTTGTGTTTGTGAGTGTACTATAAATTGGCACGAATAAATGTGCAAGTATACACAATCAAACAAGTAATATAGTAGTGAGTGGATATTGTTTCCATATAGATTGGAAGTATTCTCAAGTTAAGTTAATGCACTAAACTATGTTTTTAATGTATGACTATACTATACGATGGTATAAACAATTTGAAAAGTTGTGGCAAAATGGAATGTATGAAGGTGGAAATGTGATGGAAAAATGGAAAGTATAGAGTATGAAATGCAATGGCAAATTGGAAAGTAATATTTCAAGAATGCTAAGGCAAATTAAATTGAGAATCTGGGAATGAATAAGATAGCTGAAAACCTTACACAAACAAGCTACAATGGAGATAATTGGAAGGGTCATTAAAGAATCCTAAGTCTTGTCTTCTAGAATGATTCAAGCTTCTATTTTCTATTTTCTCGACAGAGTTTGCTAAAAGTGCTCCTATGCCATCTCTAGTAAGGAACCCGACAGAGAAATATGTTACGGCAATATCTCTCAGCGTGAATTACGGCAAATTCCTATCGATTAAGTACTACCTCTTTTAGTCGTTGAAATCTTATCCTTATCTCTAAGGTGGATTAGGACCTAGTTAGAAACTAAGCCCCATTGCTCACGTTGATCTTACATAGCTTTCACAATACTAAGCATCAAACTTAAGAAATGGATACTCTTGTAAGCTTTTACAATCCTAAGTAAATAAATACAACGAGCAGAGCAAATATTAACATAAAAAAAATCAACCATTGATTAAACAAAAACTTAATCATCTATAGTTAACCCACACCAAATAAGGTTAGTTCATGGCGGGGTACAAATCATCCAAAGAAATAATTTTTTTCCATAACAACCCATAAAATAGAAATGAAACGAAAGAACAAAGTAAAAGGAAACTCCCAACACGTGCGCTGTCGTGAGCACCTTGGGCCACCATAAACCATCATAGCAAGCATCACTTTTTCCTACCTCACCCTTTCCCAAAAAGGTTCTCCTTTAATTTTAGGGTATCCTTATCTATTTATACTAGGGGAATATCACGGGATTTTGTTCCAATATTCTTTTGTACCCTAGGTATCATTCTCTTCACGTGAGGGGGTGTAGAATGATGATGGTGCTCTTCAAATGGTAACTGGTTGGAGGGGACCATATATGGGCTGGACAACTACCTCATTTAATAAAATATCTTTTTTGTCATTTCCTACTCCTAAGAATGTCATCCATACTATTGCAACATTATTCCATTGCTTCATCAAACAAAAAAATGCTTCATCAAATATTCTTGCTCTCATTTTCTTTTAATCACTTGCACATCCACAAACAAACACAACCTTCCTTATTAAGCAACACTAGTTTACAAAATAAGATGTTGTAGCATAACAACTCCACTACATGCAATGATATGATCCTAAATGCATCTATATGAACATAAATGAGCCTTAATTCAATCAGTAACCTAAGTGAAAAGACATATAATATATCCTTTTTACGAGGTTATTACACCCCCAAACTTAAGCTATTTCTTTTGCTCAAGCAATGATCAATACTCAACAGAAAAATGCTATAGCAAATTTAAGATCAAAACAATTACATGGTTCAAATTTCAACCCTCAGAAATGTAGTGGCTTCAACAAGCTAAACAAGTGGAGATTTCAAGAATATTACCCTAGGACAAGGTCTTTTACAGTGTGTGCATAATTGTATCCAATCTATGCTTGCTCAAGTTATAAAAATTCTAAGGAAGTCTAATATTCTACAGTAGCATATGTTCAAGTTTAAAGCACAAGTACATTACTTCCAATTCCTTAAATTTTTAGCACTGTTATAAGGGGAGTC